GCTCTGCTATGGTTCTACACTACTCTTTATATGAACTGATGGCTAGGGAGGACTTCCTTAGCCATATCCATCCAATCTCTAGGGATGCATGGCTGGTGGGCGATGTTTTCCAGCAAAGCCTCAGCCCAAGGAGAGTTGGGGGCATCACTGAGGACCGCGGCCCTTAACTCCTTAAGGTCCTTAGGTTTCCATGGATACCAATTGGCCAGCCTCTGCGGTCCCAGAACCAAGTTCACTGGGAATGCCTTACAGGCAGGGGTGGTTTCTGTCCGCACTCTCACTGGAAAAGCATCAGTGTATGTGGGTCCCCTCGGGTGGGGGGGGCCGAAGGGGCCTCTCCACCTTCCCCCTGCCACCCCCCCTCATCTATCCTGCTGCGATCGGGGGTTGGGGTCCCAGCGGAGGGGCTCATGTGAGCCGCCCAACCAATAGGCTGGGGGCTGCTCCTCCCCCTCTCTTTCTCCCAGGCCATTTCTCTCACCGATCCCTCTGCCTCTTTGGTCTCCTCCTTGGCCTCGATAGTCAGTCTAGCTTTAACACCCACGGCTAGCGCTCCCATGGGACCTTGGGCACTGCATTGTCCCTTTTGCTCTGCATCAAACCGCACCCATGCCCCAGAGTCTTGTTCCTCTTCCCTCTCCTTCAAGCCCTTTGCCTCCCCACCCCCACTGTCCCTCGGCAATGCTGAGGTAGGGGAATGTCCCATACTGAAGGTGCCCTTAAGGGCCAACATCGTGGGGTAGAACCCCAGCGGGGGCTCTGTCCCAAAGTGCTTCTCCCTCTCTCTTGCCAGCCTCTCCACCCTCTCCCAGGTATCCCAGGAGAAGAGATTGGCCGCAGACACCCAGGGCGCCAAAAGTGTCACTGTCTCCCAGACCTGGCGTGCAGTCTGATCAGATAGTTCCAAGCCTCGGCTCTTGAGCATATATCGAAGAGCCTTTAAGGCTGGGTCACTTTTTGCTGATGTTGCGTTACCCATACTAAGGGTCTCACTTACCCCGAGAGCCCGATTGGCCTTGGCCGAGAACTTCTCCATAAAAGTCACCTCACACGGGGCACCAGAATGCCGAGCCTCTGCCTTGCCAGCAAGGCAGGACGTGGAGCTCAGTGATGGGGGCCCGAGGAGGGGTAAATGCGCTGTCCGCCCGTTTCACCAGCCCTCCTTGCCGAGGACAATCAGACATGACAGGGAGTCTTGTGAAGCAGGAATTCATTTATTGCAGGTGTCACAGAGCTTATATAGGCAAAAACCACAGTTTGGAACTCCCCTTGGAAACCCCCTCCCCTGAATGCACCCAATCAGCTTAAAGGTCAACCTGCCACATGGGCAGGGTCCCATAGGTATCCACGTTGATCATGCGCTGATCATGCACCGCCCAGGGGTGCGGAAGGACCAGCATTCAATCCGATGATCTTCAGGACAGGTCAGGCCGCACCCTGCTTACTTCCTCTAGGCGCCATCTTGGCAAGGCGGGGCCTTTAGGTCCCCACACCCCCCTATTTTGGAGCCTGCAGAGCAGTGTCTCCCTCACATGCTCCTTTCCTCTCAGTTTCTTTGCTTCTTTATCTTTTTATTTAATGAATCCTCATTTCCATAAAGGTCTTTTCTGCTGGTCTCTGACCATTTCTGTATTTGACAGGTGTTCTGAATTCAAGAATATACCTCTTGGGTTCACAAAACTCTCGAGTGGTAATGCAATGATGCTGTGTAGCAATTTCCTTCAAGTTAAAACAGTGAGGGATGTTCTTTAAAACAAGAGGCTCTAAAGGGAAGTAAAGAACAGCAGGATGTTCTAAAGGAAGGTAAACAAGAGAGGTTCTACAGGGAAGTGAAATATTTCATCATGCAGAGAAGTTCCTTCAGCTCAGGAACTAAACAACTCAATAACTTCAGGAAGTCCCTGAAATTGACCAGGTCCACTAGGCCCTTCCTTACCCAAGCATATATAAGCCCTAAGGATGGGTGGGAGACATTCTCAGACCAGCCAAGCCTCCTGGAAGCAGCAGAGCCCAGCAGAGCTTCCTGGAAAGGACACTCTCCAACCTGTTGAGCTGCCTGCAGGTTGTGTAGTGTGCTCCAGGTTTCCTGGCTTTCCTGTGCTGGGGTGGGCTTTTGGTGATACACCTGTCATTGAGTTATTTCTGTCCCTGTAAGTAACCCCTCATCCATATTCCTGTAAGTAACCACATTTAAACTCATTGGTTCACCATGGTGGATTTCGGTGGTAGACTTACTTTTGTGTCATTGGTTCCCTATCTGGCACGAATAGATGTTTGCTCACGTCTCTCCAGGAATAGTGTCATACAACATATGCATGGTTGAAATCTGGTTATTCCACTTGACTTTTCTGATTTCTTTCTTTTTTTTTTTTTTTTTTTTTTTTTTTTTTTTTTTTTTTTTTCCCTTTTTTTTTGAAACAGGGTCCCCCTTTAGCCCCCCCTC